ACAAATGTCATGAGTCTCACAAAGGATCGGCTAAACTTCTGAAGAGAATTGAATTAGAATTTTCTTCAATTCAAGACATATGATAAATAGAATAAATAAAAAGATAGCTCAAGCAATTGACTAATACAATTCACCTGCTAACAAGGTAGTAAAAAGTAGGGTGTGATTTGTGAGTGTGTGGAGTGTTAATTATGAAGCCTTAGTGCAGGTTGTATTAGAGGCTGTTGGAGTAAAATAGAGATGAATACAAATGCATCCTGCACTTTTCAGTTTGTTCTTTTCTTAAAATCAATGCACTGTATTTACGTTTTCCACCGACTTCACAATCATGTGTGTTTGCTTCTCACATAAAATCCCAATAAAACGCATGGATTTTTAATGTGAAAAAGTTTAAGGGCTTGAATGCCTCTTGCAATGCACTATAAATACTGATCATAGTAAAGAGATCACGTGCAAATTTCCAAGATCCTTTAAAATGCTTAAGCCAGACTCAGACTTTACAAGCAGCACTGTTAAAAATCACCCTCCTGATTATTACCTATTGCCACTTTTAACTAACAGTGGATATCGTGAAAGCTGGTCTTCTCGTGGTTCCTCTGAAGTCTGATCTGACTCCGACATGAAATCACGAGTCCCGTTTCGTCGAGCATACATGAGCAGGTCTCCGCTCTTACCTCTCCTCCTCTTTGCCGCGACAGTAGCAGAGCTCGGGAGTTTGGAAGCAAGGCGAGCGCCCTGACCGCAGGCTCCATGGCGGTAGCTGCTAATTAGAGTGCTGCTCAGTGATTGGGGTCTGGGGTTTTGGAGCGCTGCTGCAGGGAAGTGCCTCAGATGGCTGCCAAACAGGCCGGAGGGAAAGGGCTTCCAATCCCTTTTTTATACTGTACATGCACACGCAACATATGCTCGGAAATGCTTCAAGTTTAGCCAAAAAGCTACAAACCCCCCCCAAAAGAAACAACATGAACATGCATGAAATGCTCTGTTGTTTTAGTTAGAAGTAAGCATCACTAATGTCCCAACAGCTCTGTTTATGGGATTTCATCAGACCCAGGGTGTTTAACGCTAAAATTATCATCGAAGAAAAGCTCTAATAACTGCCCTGCCACTTTAAAGGGCTTTAAAACCTCTTCATGTCGGTTTTTAATCTTCGGGGATGTTTCAGCAGTGCTTTCTCCTTTTACGTAGAGGCACGGCACAACATGGAAAACTCATAAATCCTTCCTCCTCTTTTTGCCCGTGCTTTCTCGACACAAAGCTGGCAGCCTCACAGGCTGAAACAACCCTCGCTACTTCTTTTTCTTCTTCTTTCTTTCTTTCTCTCTTTCTCTCTTTCTTTCTTTCTCTCTTTCTTTCAAACAAATGTATCATCCCAAGTTTACATACATTTTACAATTAACATGTTATAGTTGGCGGCACAGAAAATGGAATTACTCGCTCGATTTCTGAAGCGATATTTAGCTGGCTGCTGATCCGGTCTACCAGTGACGGCCTTCCCCGGCCCACGGCGGCCATGTCACCGAGAACAGAGCCAGAAATGAATCCAAGCACTCTCGCGTGGGGACCGGTTCTCCTCCTCTCGGAGCGGTGCAGGTGGTCAGTCTATCGAACGCCGACTTGATCAGACCTGCTAAATAGCTCGTTTGACCACCGCGGAAACCAAGAAGTTGGAGTTAAATCGTGAAGAGGGTAGTTGATGGTAATGACCGAGCAATCGATGATTGGGTCCATTCATGGCTGAAGTGGCTGGATGTGGGGGCCTCGCAGTCACACTTTCGCCAGCACGCGGGGCACAGTGTGCACTGCTCTCATTACCGTCCATTGTCTGGGTCCTTTTAGAGCTTTCTGAGACGAGTGAGGGGAGTGAGAGAGGAAAGGCAGGAGAGAAAAAAAGGTAGAGATTAAATAATGGCCTCGATTGGTTGATGATGTGCTGTAGGAACTGGCCCCCTTGTTGTGTATAGTTTGTGTATGTGGCGGATGGTCAAGATTCAATATGGCGCGCATGAAAAGGGGGGAACAAAGAGCGCTAAAACCACTCGTTGGGGATGCAGTTGCCATCCTATGTGAGGCTTCAATCGATTGCTGATGGCCGCTCTCTGCGAATCATCTCATTTGTGCTGGGAGAAGTGTAAAATCTCTATTTAGAATCAAACACATTCAACTCTCAAAGAGAAAGGCTCTCGGACTTTTCTCGAAGGCTTCCAGAAAGTCTCTCTGGAGACGCCGACGGGATCAGGACAAAGCACGAGCAGCATGGCGGCCTGCCTCTGTCAGAGGAGAGGGTCCTCCTGGACAGGAAGTGAAGGTGAACCACTACTGCGAGGGAACTGGTCCTGGACACCATTAGGCTGCAGTTTTCTTTCTGTCATTGTGTCCCTAAACAGCCAACAATAGCTGCATTATAGGCCAATATTTAATAGTAAAATATGATGATGAAGTTTTGAAACATTTTGGATGGATTGTGGGTTTTTTTTGGCGTGTGCCGTGGCCTTTTAAAAACTCATTGTGCATGCATAAGTTCTCTGAAGGTACTTTCAACCATATTCCCAAACCATGTATATTAACTCTGAATGTGCGCGAGTGGTTATCTACGGTGAGGGTTTCTGTGTTGCACAGAAGAAAGTTATAAACATAATTTATAAGACTATTTGAAAATACCAGAAATTTAGTTTTCCTTATGCTTTTGTAATTTATATACTTTTTACATACAAAACCACCTCATTACTGCTTGTACTGTTTGGTTTTTTTAACCTTTAACTGGTAATAAAATGTTATCAGTAGGTGGAGGATACTTCTCACAGCACTATACAGATATACAGTGCTGTGAAATATTTTAAAATCATCATAAGTAGTGAAACTGTTGCTTTACTCGTTAATTTTTTCTAAACACACAAAGGCAATTCAACTTATTTCCTTTAAAAATGCTGGCATGTGATTTGGACTATTAAGCGTGAATGAAGTGATTCATCCAGCTTGTTTGGAGTCATGCTGATGACCTCTGAGATCCTGCAGGTTTTGCCTTGACTTCAGGTGACATCCATGTCTTTTTCAGCAAGTCACCTTCGACAACATGTCCCGTCAGATTGATCACGCCGACCCAAGCAAAACTCCCAACACAAACTGGTTTCCAACTCATCATCAACTCAGGACCAAAAATAAGTTCTGAGCACATAAGCTGACAGACTACAGCTCTCAGTCAGAGGCCTGGAGCCGCTTAGTCAAACTGAAGAGTTTTACCGCATGTCATAGTGGCAGACAGCACCCATTTGACTGGAGCAAGCCCATTTTCTCTGCTCAGAATAGGCCACTGTCAGGAATAATTTGCTGCCGTAAAGTTAAAAAAGGTCCAGCGGCGAGCGGAGCTGCTACTTTTAACGGACAGCTCCAACTGCGCCGAACGGCATCCGTCAGCTCACACGTTACTTTCACATAAAGTGAGTCGCTGGTCCAGCCGGGCGTCCAGTGTGGTCTGGACCGAGTTCTGATGCGCTCCTTCCGCTGTCTGGGTTGGCAACAAATCTGAGAGCTTGGCGTGAAATCTCAAAACTGTGAGGGATTTTGATTTAGCTTTGCTCTCAGGCAGAAATGTTAAACTGTTCCGCATTTTATTTCCTGTTATGATGTGGTGGCAGTTAATATTCCTAGGATGTTTACTCCTGTGGGCGGCGAGTGCTAAATGTGACAAAATAAAAATAATGATGATAATAAAACTGCCGACTGTTCACACTCGATGCTATTTCCCATTTCGTTCGACTTTTTCCCCCATTTCCACTTTCCCTCCCTCTGACTGTACTTCCCAGCTTCCTCCTCGTCTTCCTCTCGCTGCAGAGAGCCGGCTGGCTCCACGCCTGCCCCCAAGTCTGAGATCGGCCTACAGGCTCCCCGACCACGACCACATCGTAGGCTCCAGGTTGGCCCCGGCCCCATTTGCTGGCATGTTTGGACTGCATCTCCCACGCTACACTGTGAGGACGGCAGCATTTATCTTTTAGCAGCTGTACACAGATCTCTAGGGACGGGATGACTGAAACAATTTAATGCAGACAAATACTGTGAGACATCAATCTGATAGGGTCACTGATTTACTGAGCATTTTTGAAGCTTTTGAGACAAATATTTTCTGCAACCGCTAGGAAGACACCTGAATTTAAGACTGCTTTCAACATGGAGACACGAATCAAAACGATGTGCAGAATGCTTTGAATGCCTCGGAAACGTCATTGGCACAGTACTGCAGGAATCTGTTGAGGCTGCTTATTCATTTCAGCTGAAGTTCAACTTGTTCAACTTGAAAGCAAGTAAAAAAGACAAACTAAAATACATTTAGAAAGCTAGAAAATGCATTGGGTCAGATCAGGATTTTAGGATTAGAAATCCTAAAATATTCATTAGAATAAAATTAGGCTTTTTAGTTGCACAGTAGAAAGAAACAAAGGATGACTTAACATCTTTACACAGCACAAGTCATGACTCTGTGGCTCATAAATCAAATAAAAACATATTTTATGTGACAAATCCGGAAGTTTACTTTGATGCAATGGATTAGAAAATGATGCGCATCATTTGATCTTTTTCATATGTTGTCACATTACAAAAACAGACTTCAATTCATCTTGATGTTATGGAATAACGAAACAGAAAATAATGAAACAGAAGGAGAGCGATGAACGGTTTTCAATTTTCACATTTCTGTACTCCACCCCTTTAAGCGAGATGCCTCACCGAAAGCCTTCTGAATTTATTTTATCAGAGAACCGACGTGACGCCGACGTGTTTATTCTCAAAATACATGCAGCCGTTCTGGCAAAGCCTCACATGGTCATGGCAGCCAAGTTAAGAGACAGACTTATGGTGAATTTTAAAGCAGGGCTTTACTTTATCTCTTGTACAACTACATGTCTATGGTCAATAAAAAAAAACACCTGCACTATATATAGTGGTTGTATTATTACCTGACCGGAAACTGCAAAAAAAAAAAAAAAAAAACAAGAAAGCAGTTTATTATCTATGCTTTAATAGCAAACATAGCACATTTGACAGCAATCACTCTGAGTTACAATATACCTCTTGTCACAGTTCATCACAGTTCGTTCTGCAGAGGGAAAAAAAAAAAACACCTGTTCCTTATCCAGACTGAAATAAAGCGGCTACAATGAGGTTCCTGCATCTGGAATATTTAAGTTTGTGTCTCATGCAGATTTAAAACAACAGCTGAAAAAAAAGCTGAACATAAAGTCGTCATTATATATGTAAACAATAATACATGGCAAACTTCTATGACCCTGCCTTAAAGGTTAACCCTGACAAAGCTTCGTTGCAGTACACATATCTTCATAAGGCTATAATGCTGCCACTCTATATATCTACCGTAGGCTCACGAGATGCAAGCAACACACCACCTGAAGTCAATAAGCAAATAAATAAAGACAGAGAAACAATTAAAAGACACGTACACAGAGCAAAATTACAATAAAAGCTCCGCCTCGTTCTGAGCAGACATGAAGGTGTTGCTTGAAAGCAGAGAAAGGAAAAGCTGAGTGAGCATCACATGCTACAGTGGCACCAACCGAATCACACCGGCTCCCTGCTCTCCAGTCGCTTTGGTTTAGGAGTCCCTTCCTATGAAGCCAGCTCCATAGGACCCTCGTCTTCGCCGTCCGCCCGGTTAGCGCGGATCTCCATGAGCGTGCGAGCAAAGCGCGCCCAGTCCTCAGGGTGGGCCACGGAAAGCTGCAGAGGTCACAGATACAAAGGCGCGAGGTCGTTAATGCTGGGAGAGTGGATGTGGATGTAACGTTTTCCTTCCACTCAACTTTCCATTAATATGCTGAATTATTTGTGGGGTCTGGCGACAACTCTCTGTGGATAGCTAGGAATCTATGAATAATTGCCACTTCCGCCATCTAAAAATGCTTGGAGCTGCCTATTTTAAATTATTTAAACACCAAATATGCAATAATATGGGTTAGACACAAAATGGTACACATAGTGCCTTAACACTTAGTGGAGACGCAAAACAGTTTGTGTGAACGTCTTCTTTTTGGTCAGCAGGACTTTTCACCTTGGAAATCTCCTTAATTCTTGAATCACAAAAACTGACCATAACTGAGTTTTTTTTTTTTTTTCCCATCATTTTTGAATTTCGTTAGATGATGTTGCTTTTGTTGCCTACTTCACGTTGTCAGACAGGTTCTGTTACAGTGATTTCATTACTCTACAGATCAGGTTGCGTAAACAAGCATAAAAAAAAATGTGGCTCAGAAAGTCAATTTATTACTTGACAAATGCTGTGGTTGATATTTCATATTTAGCCAGGTTTGGCTTTTTCTGTTAAACTTTAAACTAGATTGCCGCGTTTACTCATTTTGCTTTTGGTCAGCAATTACAGTCTGATTGATGATCTTCTCAATTTCACATTTAAAAGAAATTAGGATTTTTATTACAACAGCAGCAACAACCAACAAAAAAAAATTAAGCAAAATGCCCATGAAGCAGCTCTCACAGTGACACTGTCCAGCTGAGCTGCCTGTTAGAGTGCTAATATCTGCAGAGTTTACCCAGCCAGCCACCTGGTATAAAGTCTGGAAAATGTCCACATGGACACAGCAGGTAACTGTCTGGAGCGCTCAGTGTGATGACCATGAGCTGCTTTTCTCTCAGACTTGCAATACATTTCCAGTCGTTGCCCTGATCCTGCAGACACGTGCTAGCGGCACCGATATCATTTAATAAAACATCATTAATGAAAAACTCAGAGGCTCCTCGTGTTTGTTCGTTGTGCCTCTCCCACGCTGTCTATCTGTCGCCGCGGAGCGCTTCCAGCAGAGAGAAAATGAATAATCTGGCTGTGAAAACACCATCTTTAAAAAAGTCTAATCAAATCTAATGTCAGCTCTGTTCTGATTGTATATAGTTCAGCCAGTTCATGGGGTGAAAAAACTCACAAATAGCCTAAGAAGTAAACAAAAGTCGAACATGTAAACACACAGAGAGAGTCTTCAGTGATATTACATCGTTGCACACAGCTTAATGAAGATAAAAGCATTTTGTAAGCATATTAGTATCACATGAACTACACGGCCGCCCCTACAGGAGGCTGTAAAGGAGAGGGCATAATTAGTTCATTTTAAAAACGGCACCCTTCACAATGATTGGGAAATGTGTGAAAGGTCTTGCTATAAATTTATGTTCATTGCAGCAGCAAAATCTCAAAACTGAAAAAAGTGAAGATATACTGTAACAATAAAGTTTACATATTTATTCATCTATCTGTCTCACCCTCATTTAGTCTGAGTTTCAGGAGAAAAATATCTTGGGTCTTTACTTAACTGTTCCAGTTCCAGTTGTTTTAAACCGACGAGTTATTCAATGCACAGTAGAGGGAGATTTCCTGACTTAAGATTAACACACAAACTGAGTGTTTTCTTATCTATACTACTTTAAAAAGGGGCACAGAAAAAGGTCAGCTGAATATGACAACTTATGTGGATGTTTTCCAGTGAACTGAATTCAAGTGACATGGGGTTTAGTGGAAATAAACGACACTGGTAGTTCCTCAGAACTACACTGAGGAACTATACAAGAAATGGCTCTTACAGTACATCCCACTGTAGGGTGACCTAGCGACGACAAAAATGATGAAAGTGGAAAAGAAACAACTAGCATCAAATGAGAAAAAGCGTCACTATAAATCACAAAAAGCTGAACTCTGTTATAGAGCTGCGTAGCGCATTTAGGGAAAGTTTGGCTTCCTTTATGTGTTTACACTGCATAAGTTTCCTTTTGGATTGAAATCTATCAATTTGAATATAGCACATTGTTTTGCACACTGTCACAATGGCTCATAATCTTTTAGATCCCGCAATTGGATGTTAAGTTTGACCAAGGATTTTCTTTGCTAGGTTAGTTAGGCCAACAATTACTTCCTTGATATCTTAGCTAAATTTCCCATGATGTCACACGAGGAAGCAGAGTGCTTAAAGTGTGCCTTAATGCGTCACTCCATTTAACTCCATAAAACCTCATGACATCATCTGGTTTTGTCTAGACTGTTTAAAGACGCTCTAATCTCAGTGTATGTACACTTCTGGCTTTGAAGAGTGTACGAAAGAGTGATGCATGTCGTTATTCCAGCATTTAGCAAATAGACAATTTTGGTCGGACTGAACAACCTAAAAAGGGAAAAACTTAGTCTGATTAAAGGTCAGGTGAAAAGAAGAAGATTTGTATCACTTGTTTGTATTTGTTTGCAAAGTGTTTGCACATTTCTGGTTTCAGTTTCATAAGAACTCTTATTTTAAGTGAAAATTGCATTATTGTTTAAGGAAACAATAAATGCACACACTAGCAATGTTGATTGTGTGTGAAATGCGCAGTGAAAATGCAAAATGCATTGGAATGTTTTTGTGTAAAATGAGTTTTAAAAGTGATATAGATACGCATCCTCATACTTTTACACAACAAAAAAGTTCTCTTCAGTCAGGAGCTTCTTCAGAACTGCAGTCATACAGACACAGACCACTCCAGGAGATCCTTTCTGCTCACAGCTATAAACATCTAAAACAACTTCGATATGAATAATGTGAGTTACATTTCATTTCCCTTTGGGAATATTTTTTAATTGAACTGAACTAAATTACCAGAAATGCCTAATTCACCAATTAGAGGGGACATTATGAAAAAAAAGAAAAGAGGTTTGTTTTGTTAAAAGCATCCAAATTAACAGTTCAGTTTAAAAGATAATGATTATTATTTGGGGTTTAGCAAAAACACTTCCAATTCCTAACAGAGAAAACATTCAATTACTACCAAAGAAAAAGTAAACATAATCATGCTAATTTGATTGGCGTCTATTTTATGACAGACCACCAGTTTGCCAGCAAGAACACATCCAACGATCTGTCGAGGGTTGGAGTCCAAGGAGCCGCATTGTCAGAATGGAAAATTCGTCACATGAGCTGCACAGGCCGTCAGGGTCAAACCGAACGTTGTTCCTCTCTTTAGCTGAGCACAGTCGGACTCAGAGGGAGTGGGACAAAAGCCGCAGCCACCACCCAAGATGTCTGCAAGCCATTCGCATGGGTAGGCTGTAATTAATCAGAAACCTGGCCACAGTCACGGAGGAGTTGGGGGGAGGGGAGGTACGTAGCGCTGATGAGTGGCGTAAGCAATAGCAGAACGACTACGAGAGGCTTGTTCCTAATGATTCCTAGGTTTGAAAATCAGGAGTTTCATTACTATGAAATGTACAAGACAACAGGGACTAAGTTTTACCCTGTGATACGGATTTTCCACGCTGGCCAAGACTTGTAAAGTTTTAATAGATAAACCCGATGGTAAATATGCTTAAAATAAAATTCTTAGAGTGAAATGAAACTGAAATGGAAATTGTTGGTATTTTGTCCTTCCTGGAAAAGTCTCCAGACTTTCTGTTATTCCCAGAGATACTTATTTTTTTCTTTAAAAAAAAACTCTCTTCCCAGTTTTAGCTACATGAGCAAGTTTACAGTAAAGTAAATACCCCATTACCACACACGCATACACACACACCCAAGAAAAGAAAAAAAAACCCTGCCTAAAGGACCCATAAAACCTTTCAGCTTCACTCAGTTTTATTGAGGCCTCTTCATTACCATCAACCCAGCGCTGAGGCCACCAGCTCTGCTTGACTCCCCTCGAGCTTACCACACAAAAAAGATGCTAAACTTAGCCAAGCAGCTAAGCTAAATACATCTTCAAGCATTAAAACCCGTCGGCTACAGCGGAATCGCTAGATGGCTGCTTTGTGATGCTTTTTTCAAAAACCATTAAATAAAATGTTACATACGGCAGTGTGAAGCTGAAAATACTTTGTAAAAACTTATTCCGGATAAGTCAGTGAAATGTTTCCAAAAATTCAGAGATTAAGATTCAGTTCCACATGCTTTGTATTATGTAATAATAATAACACAGACATAGACATCCATGATGAACTGAGACCCAATATCTCTTTTACAAACACTATTTGGTCAAATTACTGACAGTAAAAATCTCTCCATCTGCTCCTGTCCAGCTACTGCAAATTTTTTTTCTTTTTTTCTAGTTTCCTCATGCTTTTTGCACCTACATTGTAATTAGGTCCTGATTGAAAATGAAACTCATGAGAGCCTCTCAGCTATGCATCATAGGAGTCGATGTGAATCTAACATGTGAGCCCTGAGCAAAAAAAAAAAAAAAAGAAAAGCAAAAGAAATATTAATGTATTTAACCAAAAGTGCAACATTTTCAGGATGTACTTTTTGTTCACAACAAAGGAAAACATCTGCAGAACTATTTTGTGCCCCAGCAGAACATTTCCATGATTGTTTTATGTACCTCTCCTGTATCGTAGATCCAAACTCTTCCCTCTGAGTCGCCCACGGCCACCTCTTTCCCTCCCGATGACCAGCGAACCCTGTTCAGAGCCGACGCTCCCTCAATGGTCACACTGGCAGTCGGCACCTGGGAGGAAAAAAAAAAATACAATAAATAAATGATTTCTGTGAAAAGTACTGAATGCAAGAAATCACGTTTTCTTTTTTCTTTTTTTAGACTCAGTTGTCAATTGACCCTCACTGTCATCGTACCTCACTGAGTTTGTCACCAAGTGATCAAAAAATGAATTAATTAGAAAACGGGTCAGACTTCTGTATGCTTGAACAAATTCAAGCATTAAACATGCTGAGGTGAAGGAATTTTTATCAATGCTGGCAAAGCATCTGCGTGTCGTAGCACGAAATTAGATGATAATGTGTCACCACTGAACCTCTACAAAATATGTTGCAGAGTAGGTTTTTGTGTCACAATTCATGGCAGATATTTTCTCTACATGGCAAGAACATCTATGGCCGCCTGGTTTAGCTGAGGAGCAAACTGAATGTGCTAATATTTTAGTGTTAGCCATGTAGAAAGACAAAGATGGGAAAGTCAATTATGCTGTGATAGTGAAAGTAATGGTTCCCCCGTGTGCAAGATCACACTTTCCAGGCTCAACTTTATCGAGCTGTGACTTCTTTTTGCCAGTTTACTAATATAATGACAAATATTTCCGCAGTAAGTGTGACTCAAATGTGGAGCCCTGAAAACCCCCAGTCAGAAAGGAGGCAAACGGATTGATATTAGGAAGAGAGGAAGGACACAAGGAGGGAAACAAGAAACAAAAAGATTGAAAACGAGACAGGAAATAAAGAAAGAAAGGGAAGAAGGAGAAGAAAGACAGGAGGAAGAGCACAATAAAGAAAAGATGGGAGGGAGAATAAAAGGAAGGAAGGACAAAGGGAAAGGCAGGAGGAGAGAAGAAAATGCAGGAGGAATGATAAGTATCTAAAAATACATCTTTTTGCCATCAAATCACAATATGTCTGTTCAACCGTTTCCATCATTCAGTTTTAATTTCAACTTTGGACTCAGCACTTATTGGCGGTCTTATGGAACATCAGCAAAATAATAGTTCAAACAAGAAAAGTAAATCTACTAATTAGATTATCAATTAAATATTCGCTAACAGTAAAAGTTTACTAACATTGGTTTAGGTTTTATTAGTTAATTACTTCAGAAGCAGGGCCAATGTAAAGGATTCCTCTTTATTGGCGAGATTATTCACAGCAGGTTTCTTTCATTCTGAAGACAAAATAGAGAAATAATCGGCCAAATACTATGACAAGCCTCTTGAAACCTTACTACGTTTTTTTTAGTGACTCTAATTGCAACGTGTCCTAATGTTTATTGAAAAATGGGAACATTACATTATGTGATTACAGAGCAAATTTACCACAAGAACAGGGTGGCTTCATCTGGATATGCTGGAGGTTACAAATACAAAGCTGTCACATTTACAGCTTTTTATTCGACCGGACACATTGCGAGCCGACTTATTCTGAAAATAGCCCGTGCATGTTTGCTGGCATCGGGCTGAGCTGAATCTTGATTTCTGTCTTTTTAGTGCTCATGTTGCACCTTTGAAAACCCAAAACCATCTGCAGCGTTTCCATAAACTGTTCCTGACATGTGGCAGGCGAGTCTGACACATGTCACCAGTGGAGACAGAGGCCTTGGCATCGCGTCTCCTCGCACAGTGAGCTCCTGCCCATTTAAAGCAGAGCTAACCACAGACTGACTGCCATTAGCCCACTAGCTTCCCTTCCTCTGAAAAGAGTGGATCTGGACGGAGAGCTTTAAAACTGCGTGTGTGCGCGTGGGTCAGCGTGTGTGTGTGTGTGTGTGTGTGGTGGAAATGAGAACCAGGCGCGCTACGCTGCTCTGTTAATGTTGTTATGACTCTGTGTTTTTAATATGATGGCAACAATGAAAGCCTGTTGCTATCAGACTGGCGAGTGTGTGGGTGAACGAGCGTGCGTGCGTGCGTCCGACGCATCCGTTTGCGTGAGCGCTCGTCTGTGCAAATGTTTCTCATAAAGCACATTGTTAGGCGAGTTAAGCCCCCGATAATGAACTCTTCCTCTGTCTGTGAAAAGGCTGCTGTTGAGGGAACCATGGGAATATGCGCTGCAGACAGAGGAGCCGCTGCTCCCACAGCCGTGTGCGTTAAAGCAAGAAAATACGCAGAGCTGGGAGCTGAAGTGAGAAGACATGAGAGTCTTGTATGGTAGAGAAAATGGGAAAAGAGGGAGAGCTTATTATGTGAGAGGAGTGAGAGCATCGGTCTTGACGCAGACTTGCATTAAGGTTGAAGTCACTGGTGTGTCCATGGAAACCAAGGAGGAAGGAGAACGGAGGATCCTTTTATCTGGACTTTTACCTGAATGATCAAAGGTTGTCTGCTGACAGGGTTGAAAGACAGAAAGGTTTTTACAGAATCATGGTTGAAGTTACATTTTTGCTTTATAATAAATGTGATGAAAATAACTGTAGTATCGTCCACAGGAGATAAAGCTCCAGCAAGGAGCAGACAATGAAGTAGTTGCTTGTTTCTTTCTGAAAGAGAAAATGGTCTATTCAAGTTCACTCATTACCAAGTTCAAATTGTGTGAAGAAGAAGTGGTACCCAAGAGGTTCGGTAGTCTTTAAAAGACGAAGTATGTATATGCGAGGACAGTTTTGACCACATTTGCCATTTGTGATACAAAACATTAATGTAAATAAATCTTGTAATATACATTTCAGAAAAAACAAAACACATTTTCAGTATAATTTTTCAGACGGGCCAAATCTAAATGTAAAGAAAAATGACTACTTTCCACCCTGATGATATCATTTTGCACAACCTCTAGTAGGAAATAGACTACTGGTTTAAGGGTACTGGCATCTTCTCTTCAGCTACAGGTTTTACAGATTTAAATCAAAAGACTTAAAAGACAAGTTCAATTTTGTGTATGATTCAGACCGATATTCATCTAAAAAAATAATTACAACAACTTGTCCCCTCAGATTCCTTTAATTTAGGATTCCCTGGCATTTCAAAGATATCAAGATAGACTACACTCTAACAAAGCCAGCCCAATGGAATCATAACGACAGTACATAACAAGTATGTGGAACTGCATTTCCACATACTTACATTTATATTTATTTCTGTTTGAAAAGTTACGGGTTAATAATTGGACATTTGAATACACAGAACAACATAACAACTTAAAGCAGTAGAATTCAAAATGAAATGTTTCAGTTGTCTTATTTTAAAATAGAAGCAGAAAAAAAGACACCCCTTAATAAATAAGAGATACGTGTTTTTGTCTTTATTCTGAAATAAAGACAACTGGCCCAGTAATTCTAATGATTCTGTTGAAAAACAATTATGTCCTTAAGAGAGATACATGTTTTCCTTAATGAATCAATGCACTTCAGTCAAAGGCTGAATTTCTGAAAATGTTCAGTGTTCGTAGGTCTTAACCTGGAGTTCCATCAAATGCACTCTGTGAATTTGTGTGAAAAGGTCTGGATTAAGCAAAAACAATTTAAACAAAATCCCTAGCAGAAATACTTGTTCAATGACAAATGAAATGAAGGGACATAGTTATAGGATGAAAAACTATCTGCTCATAACTTTAGACATTATTCACTCCTTTTATGTGTTTTGCTTAATACTACACATGATTATGTTTAATTCCAGCACTCAAATGGCCTTAAATGCACTCATCTCAAAAATAACTGTCACACCACAGCATTTCAAAACTCAACCCTTGCTGGCCTGAACTTTCTTTTTTTTAAATCATTATTTTTCATGGGACTGTGGACTGAGGGCTGGGGCTCTCTGCTTGCGGTCGCCGACACATCTGTGCACTCCTCTGACGGGACACAGTTTGGGAGGAAGACGGTCTCTGAGGTCGTCTGAACGTTAGGCAGAGGTTGTAGAAATGTTAGCGGGGTGGCTGGGTGGGAGCCAGAGCGAGAAGATGTCACCCAGTCAGAGCTGTGGGAAACGCCTGCAGGGGAATCTTGAATCTTGTGTGTGTGTGTGTGTGAAGAAGAGAGCTTTGGGTGTTGGGTTGTGCGGTTCGGGCCGAGCCCCAGCAACAGACCCGGAGGACACCAAACAGACACGCATATTGACAAAAAAGAAGATGAGCCAGAAAACACGCCCACAGTGACCTAAATCCACACACCTCCGTGTCGTTGTTGAGGTTCCACAGGTCCAGGCGGCCCATGCCGTCCACGGCGGCGAACATGGCAGGATGCACGGGCGACCACATGACGTCATACACATAGTCGGCATTGTCCTCAAAAGAGTACAGCGGTTTGTTGTGCTGAAAGAGAGGGGGCGAGAGAAAATAAGAAGATAACTGTGGACGAGTGTTTGAGTGGCACGGTGCGAAATAGCACTGTACAGAAAAAAAGAAAAACGGAGAGATTACAGGAGATGACACATTGGAGATGGACGGGAAAAAAATAGAGCGAGAGACACCGAGTGAAAAGGCATGGAGAGAGGGAGTGTGTGAGCTTCAGACAGAGCGGCGCTGCCTCAGCCTTGGGGCCTGTCTGGGTGCAGAGCCTAATTAAAAAGCCTTGCACATTCACACAGCGCCATAAAACCGCTGGGAGAGATGAAAGAGAAGGCCCCTCCACAAGGTATACTGTAACCTTAACATAACAGCTGTCAGAGAGATGGGAAGAGATAGAGAATGCAACGAGAAGGATGGGGCAGACAGTGGACGGGAACGAGAGGCGCTTCGAGGAGGATGTGCTTGTTTCAGGCATGAACGGATTAATTAATGACGAGTTTATTGGTTATGTTCGGCGGTAAAGAGCAATTGTAATCTCTGCAATCATATCAGCTGATGATCACTGTTAGCATAAAATGATATTAATAAAGATTTATATCTGGTGCCGTGGGAGATGTGGGAGATTTACTTTCGCATGGAAAACTTGTCAGTGCTCTCTAGTGGACAAATGCTAAATTACCATAACTCGTAATTATTTACAATACACTTTGTTGGAGAGGAGAGCTCCAACACCCAGAACACACCCCAGTCCAGATTTGAATTTACAACATAATGCAACAAAATTTGTAGAGATATTTACATGGCTGTGTGTTATTTTATCTATTTTAGTGTTTGGAAGCAAACAACAAAAAGGAGACAATGTTATTCCTCATAATTATTCATATGGCCTGGCAACAATGTTTGGAGAATAACCTTCTGGAACACTGTCAAGAGTGAAGGATCACCTGCCATTTGTTTATTGACAATTGTTTATTGTGTTCCCCAGTTACACTGGGAACAAAACACAAGCACAGATAAACTGTTGTAATTATTTTTTTAGATGAATACTATAAATATAAACTACAAACATTTTTCTCTGTACATTTATATTAGCTACAAAAATTATGACTAAATTTTAATTTTTAATTAATTTGGAGTTTAGAGACTTGCCCACTCTACAGTATTTGTTAATCTATACGTACTGTTAATCGCAGTAAAGTTTTAATAACTTGACATAATGATATTAATCTCATATTTAAAATTCAATGAAAAGATATAGCAAAAACTGGTTGAATTACAAAATATATAAATCTCAACTTGCACCAGTTTTAGCAAACTAAATGAAAAATTACATTTTGAGCTCTCAATCAACGCTTTTATAGAAATACCTATATTTCTATTTTGTTTTGTCCTGTTAGTTTTTATTACCCTTTAACCAAAGTGTCACTTTTTTTCTGTAAGTAAGATTTTTAGTTATGTCTTATCAGTTGACTTTGAACTTCTATTTAAGAAAAACATCTTTAATATGTTCTCTGCAACATTAATATTTAAAACAATGCTAAACACTGTGCCCTAGATAATTAACTTGTTGGACCAAACGAACACTGTGTTCCTCCTGATAGCTGCCATGCATGATGAAGCATACTTGCAAGCGTTAAAATCAGAGATTCTGCTTCAATGTGTGTGACCGAGTGTAATCCCCATTTTTCAGATTGACAACTCAAATTCCAAGGGCTTAGGAAACAAAACTGCGTTCCTGACAAGAAGAGAGGGAGGGGTCGTGGAGAGGAGACAGGTTGGCTGCAGGAGCGAAATAAAAGAATGTACAGTATTCCCTCTCTCTTCCTCGTTGCCACTGATTGTCTTGCTACAAAGTTTCTAGGAGACAACACGTACGCACTTAGAAACACGGCGCAAACAAACGTTCGAGTACATTTCTAGCTTCGACTGAAATAGTTTTCCACTCAGAGGACAGGAGAACTCTTTTCGTGTTCTTTGCCTCACAGGTTTTACATTCAATAAGTTGATGGGTTGACGTTTACACCGTGTTCCAAATTATTATGCATATTGGATTTAAGTGTCATAAAGGCACTTAAATCTTTATGACAATTTTTTGTTGTGCTATTAAATTTATAGATGGTATTGTGTGTCAGGGCTCTTTGAATCACTGTAATTAATTTCAGAGCGCTGGATTGATTAGTTTTTCTGGTGAGCTCAATTAAATTCAGAAGGATGTTCCACATTATTAAGCAGGCCACAGGTTTCAAGCAATATGGGAAGAGAAAGGATCTCACTGCTGACAAAAATCATCAGACAGCCGCATGACAAGGTAGGAAAACATTAGATATTTAACAAAACATGAAGCGTTATCGTACTGTGAAGAGATTTATGGCTGATTCAGAACAAAGATGGGCTTGTATAGATAAAGGCATAATGAGGAGGGTTTATGTTAGACAAATTCATCGTATTAAGAGAGCAGCTGTTAAAATGCCCTTACAAAGCAGCAAGCAGTTATTTTTATCTGGAACCTCAAAGTGGAGGATCCTCCAGAGGCTTGTGGTGATGAACCGACTATTGGGCCCCTAACCAGAGCTCACAAACAGAAACGGTCGCAGTGGGTCCAGCCGAACATGAAGATTAATTTTCAAACAGACTTGTTCATTAATGACTGCTGTGCAACCCTGGATGGTCCAGATGGACACAGTAATGGACATTTTTTGGGCCGAAATCATGGGGAGAGAGAGAGAGCTGGTCGGCCCCTTCAGAGTCCTTGAAGGAGTGAAAGTGACCTCAGCAAAGTATATGAACTTTCTGACTGATCACTTTCTTTCATGGTTCAAAAAGAAGAACCGAACCGTCAGTAGCAAAATCATCTTCATGCATGATGATGAACCATCTCATGCTGGCAGGAATACCACTGTGTCATTGGCTGCTATGGGCATAAAAAGGGAGAAACTCATGGTGTGGTCACCATTCTCCTCTGACCTCAACCCTATTGAGAACTTTTGGAGTTTTCTAAAGGAGAAGATCTGAGGGTGAAATGAAGTTCATATCAAAACTGCAGCTCTGGGAAGGTTTTCTGACATCCTGCAAAGAAATTCAAGCAGAAACTATTCACAAACTCACAAGTTCAATGGATGCAGGAATTGTGCAGGTGATATCAAAGAAGATGTAACTCAGTCTGTTAAGATGTTTTTGATTGAAATCGCTTTTGATTTTAGTACATGTGACCACATAGAATGTTTAGAAGATCAGCTGTGCATAATAATTTGGAATACAGCATTTTGAGTTTTTTATTTTTGAAGAAAACACTGCTCTCATGGGGAGCTTTGTTCAGTAAAATTTATACTGTTCATGACTTGAAAATTATACTGAACATCATTTTCATTGACCATTTAAGAAAATCTGAGAAACATCACTTGCATAATAAGGTTCTCAACATATAATTCGCTCATTGTCCCCATCCTTTACTCGTCGTCTTTTATCACAGCTTATCTTCCTGCAGTAACCCTTTTCGTTTTAATTGTCTTTAAAATCTGTCACTTTGGATATAAACTCAAAATTATACATGGCTTACATAAAATCAACAGAACTGATTCAGGCTTAAGCTTCTGTTTTGGCCATTTCCACCATCTCCTAAGATTGTGAAAAGTTTCAAGACTCATCTCAAAACATAGTTTAATCCGAGTGGCGCCACACAGAAAGAACCTGCTTGTCATTATCTTTCCAGTGATAGTAGGCTACGAAGCTTCTTGCACATCTGAGCAAAAGAACTAAACCTTAATAGAGTGCAATAAAGTAATACTGGAGGACCTGAACTCTGTTATCAGAACTCTGCAAGACCAATCTGCAAAACATTAATTTTGAATTGTGCAAGACATAAACTATTTCATCACCTTCCTAAAATAATGACCAAAGTGGTTTTCTGCCAAAAGCGATTTTTCTTTTTTTTTTTTCCAAAATCATCTTCTGGCAAAAAAGATGTGATATTCTTTTTTTTTATTTTATTTTGGCAAAATCACTTTAGGCAAAAATTAATATAGGCCCCAATTTTAGGAAGGTGACGAGATGCAGTACTGAAGAAAACAACAACATCAGTAGAAGCAGCACTGATCAAAACACACTGGCATAAAAAAATAAATAAAAAATGCAACTGAGACTTCGACTTCAGTCCAAAAAGTGAGCAGCAGCTCCCCTAAAATTACTTCTCTCCTATTAGCTCCTTTGAGTCATGGCTCACAAAATGTGGTACAAGTGTGGACTGCCATTGGTGGTACTGAGAGGAAATTTCAGTATCAACTATTTACAGGTAAATAAGAAGCAACTTAACACACGTTTTTATTACAGTAACCTTTTCCAGGAATCTGTATAGTTTTCTGTGACTATTATTAGCCCCCCTGTGTTTCTATTGCATTTACCAGAAGAATAATCCTCGTCTAAAAAGCTTTCAGCTTCCCTAAATGCTGTTTCTACACTGTCAAATTTAAAATGGAGCAATTATGCTTGCAAAAGCATTCCCAAATACTGTCCGATTTTTATTTGTATTTACTTAATTTTCTTCCACTGGCTAAAAACTGAAATATTGAGCTTAATGGGAAGCAGTGCATCTTGTTGGATGTATACCTTAATTTATCTTAACAAGAGTTGAAGATTGCATCTGTTCCTCTGTTTCTTGCATCTGTTGTACAACGTAATGGAGACACTCTTCCTTTTCATTATTGTTAGCCAGGTTAACCGGGTCTATTAAGGTTTAAGCTAATTCCAGGTTTTATGGCCGTACTGACACACTTTCATCTAATTACAATCCTTCATGTGAGAGCACACCGGGACAGACCCCTGCTATAATCTTATTTCCAAAGACACCTACTGACGCTCAGCTCCAGACTCAATCCACACTCTTCAACAATCACCTGAACTAACAGTGATGCAGGCCTTTAATTAACTTCTTCAGAGAGCAGAAGTGGAATTATTATACTTCATCCAATCACTTAGTAGACGCTGGGTTTGGGGTCAAGAGAGCAAGACGGTTCAAGTTATGCACAATCATAAACCCACTCCCAGCTGTCGCGACATCTTCAAACTCTGGCCCGGCGCAGGACGGTCTCGCTAACCACAATATTTGCACCGCTGAGAGTAAAAACATTAGCAGGCTTCTGTACAACGGCCTTTCTGAACTGTGAGGGCAAACGTACGAGTGAATACAAAAACAATTCTCAGTCTGTCTGCGAGTGCAAGTGTGGGGGATGCGCGCGTGTGTGTGTGTGTGTGTGTGTGTGTGTGTGTGTGTAGGTGTGTGCGTGTGTGTGTGTGTGTGTGTGTGTGTGTGTGTGTGGGTGTGTGTGTGTGTGGGTGTGGGTGTGTGTGTGCGTGTGTGTGTGTGTGTGTGTGTGCGTGAGCGACCGGAGGATTGAAGGTCGACCTCTAGGGGATTTCAGACCCGGCAAAAACTGCCTTCTTAAGATGTATGAGAGACATATGTGGTGTGTCTGTAGTCACACACCTTCACACCTCCAGGTAGATGCCTGCCCACACACAAACATGGGTTACGCTGGAAGAGAGACAGACATGCATTCCTGCGGTGGCCCTCAAAGGAGAGGGAATTCCCAAATCCTGAAAACATAACACACTCTCCTGATGAAAATCCGCAGAAATGTTTTAATATGTGTCACAGGGCTCTTTGCTCAAGCTTTATGGACTGGCTGCTTGCGAACCTGCGCCAGAATTCATCAGAATGTTTTATAGCCTGTCGCAGCCAAGTATGAAGAGTAAAACATGATCCAGAATCAAGCTGTAGGTATAATGGGAAATTCATTATGTGTTTTATCATATTCAGCAATCCTTTATAAAGATGATTTTCTTAACCAATAATTTTAACTTAGAATCCCTAGCCTACTTCCTCCTGCTAACTTCTGTAATCAGTGTCTTTTGTTCCTCTTATTTCTCTAAGTAATTCCGTGCAGCACGTAAAATCACCCAGAACAAAAACTTCAGTCTCAGTAGCACAGAAAATGTCCTGTCAGTGTTTTAACCAACTTTTCTCTTATCCAGCCTCTCTCCGACAACAGCAGTGACTGTTTGGATTTCACTGACGTCGAAATGCTTCCAAATGGAACTCGTCACGTCTGTTTGAAGGGAAAGCAAATGCCCTGAGTGGACGAGGTCACTCAAATGCGGCGAGAGGAGGAGCGCCCACCTCTTGATTCTCTGAATGCGCCAGCGCCGTCCTGTCAGAGCTTTTGGGGGATTTGCGGGGACTTTGACAAACACATCAGTGAACACAGAAGCAAAGCGTTTCTTCTGCACGTTTGTCAGGTTAAGTGCTAAAAACATAACAAGCGACAAAGACCAAGATGCACGTTAGGTAAATATCTCTAAAGCATGTGTAGACTCTACCTGACTTGCAGCACTATTCAAAAGCATTCACAGCCTTTGTATTTTTTTCAAATGCACACATGTTGCATGTTCTATTTAGATTTTAAATTATGCAGCAACAAAAAGTCAGAAGGGGGTTTTCAATTTGTTTTTTTTAATTTTTTATCTGAAAAGTATGATGTACATTTGGATTCAATCCCCAGCTGTTAGAGCCATCCCAAAAAAGATTTGCAGATGTAATTTCAGAACATTCTTAACTCAGGAAGCCTGAATGTAAAATATACACCACACTTTTGTGATTTCTGTTTAAAAAAAAAGTTTTGAAAGCCATGGATAATTTTGTGTCTTACTTTCCAGTGATAGTAGGCTACAAAGCTTCTTGCACGTCATAAACTCCTAATATAATATATACATGTGATAATGTGACAAACATGAAAGAAGGCCCAAGAGGACTGAACTATGGGAAAGTTATTTATGGGCAGATATAACATAATAGTTATCATTTAAATTACCCTCATTTAAATCTTTAAATCTTTTGGGAAACTTGATTTTGTGTGACTTTACTTTCATAAATTTGAGAATAAAATTTCTTAGTTTTTTTGTTTGTTTTTTTGGTGATATTCTCAGGTTTACATTTAGCATATTTTTCCATTTGTCTATCTTCTTGAACTTAATTTTAGCATGATAAACATAAAGATCAAAATGTTTGGGTTTGTGTTGGTTGATTTGTCAGAATGATCGCAGAACCCTCTGATGACCGACGTCACTTTCAAGGATCAATTACAAGAGGGACTTTTCTAATGCATTCAGGAATATTATCTGTTTAAAATATATAAAGCACAAACCTAACATCCCTCCTTTGCTATTACTAAGAGAAACTGTCATATCAGTGTTTCTCCGGACAGCACTGAGCCTTGGAGCATAACAACGTCTGAGAGGAAGAATTCAGGTCACAGTCATCAGAGTTCCTGGCTTCTGCTGATTAATTTCACAGTGCACTCACCCAGTCAATATATGCAACAACACATCGCAAAGAGCTTACTCCAACACACACACACACGGCAACACACAAATAGCAAGAGAAAGACTGATTTTCAAATAGATGTTCATCCAATGTACTCAACTCCCTCCCCTCATTCTCTCAGGAGTCCCTCTAAGTAACCTTTCAGAGACCACAATCAACCCCCCACACATCTGTTCCCTCTGCCATTTTCTCTCTCCCTCACACACACCCCTACACACATTGACTCACCTTGGTGCTCCAGAGTTTGACGGTCCAGTCGAAGGAAGATGTTATAAAGAGGTGGGAGAAGTCGACAGTGCCCACTGCACTGTGACAGCTGATTCCCGTAACCGGCCCCTGGTGGCCCTCAAACATTTCACAGATGCCCGCTTTACTGGAGAAGACAACGAACATTGGTGATTAGTTTTAAAAACTGAATAGCAATTTCCCAACCACAGAGAGTTTGGGATAACTTACTATGAAATCAGCCAACTTATGAAGTATTGAGATTTCTCAGCTCTTGTTTCTAGTTCATATTTCATTAGCTTATTTAATTAAGTCAAAGTTCTTAATTACTTGCATTATTGCTATATTCATAATTTTTTCTCTTGTGGATGGGATCTTGTCAGAACCACAGCCAGTAGGATTACAAATCAAATGAATAAAGAAATAACTACACACATGCCGGCTGCTGATGATTTCTTCTTACACTAATACATAGAATATGTATTTAAAAAGCCTTCAAATACACACAAAAAAAAACAAGTCTAAATGTGTGTAATTTGAGAAAATAATTACATTTCAAACCTTTTTCAGTTTTTTTTATTTTGGTCTTTCCTTGTGCTATACACCTATGTTTAACCTCAATCTGGACTTTATTGTCGTTCTGACCAGTAGATACTGATTTCTATAATAATTGTATTCAATATAAAAAATGTTTTCCTGCTTTTCATTGACATAATTTCTTCTTAAGAGGTCAGATTTGCTGTAAAACAGCTTTATTTTTGACAAACTGATAACAGCATGTAGATTATTAGTTGTTTTCAGCATGACAGATAACAACTCGCTCAGTTAGCATTGCTAACAATAAACAGAAGGCTCTGTTTTCTAGACAATGTAAACATTTACCTTGTAGGAGCCAGAATGAACATCAGACATATGTGCTGTTGAGAAAATATAAATTTTAAATAATTTCATTCATCTCATAGCTAAGACTGAGTCCTCTTCCCTTTTCTTCCACACTGAAGAGTGTTGTGATCGTCATGACGTCTTAGGGCTTAGGCATGTGTTTACTAATCAAAAAAAGGTGGGGTATTTGAACGGCTGCTAAAACTGGTCATCACAGGTCTAGCTAGAAATATTTAGTTATTAGTTTATGTCTAAATATTTGATCTATATTTAGTTAGCTCTGGCCAAAGCTATGCACAGACACAAAACATTTAACCCACCTGCCATGTCTGGATGCAGTATACACAGTGCCTTCCTCGCTCCCCACCACATAGTTGTTGACATCCCCTGTGGGGAAAGCCATACCTGTCACCGCCACAGGTTTGGATTTGTTGTACACGAGTTCCATGGTCTCCTGCAAACAGGAATGTCATGGATTTGGTAAACTATGCATTTTAAAGCCTTCAAATACACATAAAGTCATGATTTATATCGATGACTGACAGTTTTAAGAATTATTTAAGGGGAAATAAAAACAAAAACATGTTTGCTCCATTTTAACATCCGAGAACTACTGAGATACAAGGGCTTTTCCCTGTAAATTTCTTAACATCGAGTCCAGGTTGTGGGAACTGTGTGTCTGATGAGTGACATTTTTCACTACCTGAGGCTGAGAGAGCATGTCGAGACTCCACGAACACATCCTCCCGTCTGTTGATACAGTGATCAGGTTGTTGGCATTCTGGGTGCCGACCACGTTCACGCAATATACCGGGTGCTGTTGAAGTAACGTACAGAAACACAGCCGCGGGGCGAAACAATGTGCTGCAGTTACGACTGTTCTCATTAAAGTAACATCTCTGACAAATCCACCAATCAAACAAAACAAAATCCCAGAAAATCTTTTCGCCTGGAAACATTTAAGTGTTCTTCGAACCGGCATCCTGTCTGTTAAATATTCAGACAATTCCTAAGGCTGTCGAAACCACAATCGTTTTCTAAACCTTTAAATGTATTAATAATATGAAACTTGTTCTTAAATCTGGCATCCTGTGCGTTAAATACTCAGACAATCCCTAACTGCAAAAGGCTGTCAAAACCACAATCGTATTCTGGACCATTAAAAGTTGCTATTAATAATATGAAATTTGTTAAAACACCCTCATTCCTATTATGTAATTAAACAGTGAAACACATGACATAATGAGATGCTTTAAGGACCAAAAGCACAGAGGGTCGACAGGCAACTTGCATGCCAGAGTGCAGTGGTCCTTTTCAATCCCTTTACGTTTGAGACATGTGCTGCTGTTCAAATCCATGAGTGTGTAAAGCCATTATATCATTACTGGCCAGTAATTGATTTGTCTGCTGGGCTGCACAAAGGGCCCATTCAGCAATCAGCACCATGCTAGTAAGCTAGACTAACTGGAGAGGACGACAGCAGCAATCTCTTCAAGACTACAGTATAGAAGGCATGTGGCAATGTAAGGGGCTACATGACTTCTGCAGATAAGACTATAAAAGGACTTGCTGCTTGTGTCCATGCATTGGTAATTTGTTGACAGTGAGCAAGTTCACTGGAGTTAAACTGAGCAATCTGTTCGATCTGTTTTTCTTTTTCTTCTCACAATAAGTTGTAAACTCACAATGAAATGCAAAATACGACATTCAGAAAACTGAACATTTTGTAATGCAAAAAAGTCTGAAAACATATTTTGCAAAAGACAACATTTCAGAAAAAAAGTAGTATTTGCATAAATCTGGTTTTGCTGGATCTACAGCAATTATGTAAAGTTCACAAAATATTGTTTTGTAATAAATTTGTGTTTCACAAACTATTGCTGTATGTTCTGTTTTTTTTCTTACCCTTTTTAAACGATTGACTTTTTAGTTCCCATTTATTATTGTATGTTTATATAATTTCCTAAATATTCTCTGTCATGTTTGAAAATTGAGTTTTGCACCTGAAGGTTGAACCGTCTATTTTACTTCAACCAACCTTGTACATCTTGATATTTCCAGAGAAATATTTTGTTAATACCAATGTTTTCTTGTCTGGAAGAAACTGATCAGTCTGATCCTGAGCAGTATTTCTCTTTGCAGAGATCCGAGGCTGAGATTGAACTGATTGGTAGCTGCATTTCCATACGAAATGTGCGCAAAAATGTTTTAATATTCTGCTGATGTAAAAAAAAAAAAAAAAAAAAAAAACACACAATCTCACAATTGTGGTGTTTTCATTAAATAAGAAACAAAATTAAAATCACACATGTTCAGTCATTAGAAAAATATGCAGTGCCAACAACCTTCTTGTTATCTTTGTTACAGCCAAAAAAAACAAAAACATGTTGACTTTTTATTGAAAAACATGACTTTTTTTTTAAATTAGTGTATTAACAAAATTTATTTTCATAATTCCAGTTTGCACAATTGTTGAATCACTGATCAATGGAAAAGCAACTAGAGACATAGTGGGATCTGGCACTTCTATTTTCTTGTTTGTAAGAGTATGTTATGTAAAATGGGCCTTACAGTGTGTGCTGCAGCAGAGAGGGGGGTCCTCTGCACTGGGGTCCGACGGTGACTCCGGTTGTCCCACAGAACAATCTGTCCCGAGTAAGTTCCTCCTACCACCAAGTTCGGATGAAACTTAGCAAAACCAACAGATACGACTGGAGACTGAAAAGAGAAGAGAAGAAAGAGTTTTTGAGACAGGGATATCTGTGTGTTTCATTAATATAGACACAAATGGTTTACAAAATATTTGTTAGATAATACAGAAAAGATATGAGTGCTAAAATGCATTAGACTGGTGAAATTATGAGGTGAGACATCAGGTGGTGAGAAAAGAGAAAGATATGAATTTAAACCGGTTATGCTCGACTGGGTGGGAGTTGAAACCAGTCATTGAGACAATAAAATGAGTGGCAGTCGTGGGGAAACAGACAGAGACGGAGATGATGAGCTTGGCCACTGAGAGGGTCTGCTGAGGAGAGAAGAGAGGGGTGACGCTGCGGTGGAGGCCAGACAAAGAGGGGGATTGTAGACCCCGTCCACCCCAGCCGTTTCACATTACAGCATCAAAACTCCAGAAGCCACTGAAGCGCTCAGCGTAGCCTCCATCACGAGCGCACCCTTGAACTCCCTCCAACCCCTCATTGCCATGCTTATTGAGTTTTGGTTCCTCTTCGGTGCTCGGACCGTATTGGCTTCTGCTCGGAATAGCCAACCGCCCCTGACCCCGGGGTCGCCGAAGGATCTCCTCGACTCAATTATGAGAAAATGTTTCATCCCGTTACTTAGCGCAACAGGAGGGTAAGTGGTGTAACGCTTTTACAAATTGAGAGGAGAAATAATTTACAAGCACAACAGCGCCAAGTGAAGCTCTCAGACACAAATCACAATTAAAAACAGAGCAACTACAAGATGCAGGGTGCATTCTGGAACAGCGTTGTTGCCTAACACGGTCATAGATTTATTAGACGGAGCTCAGCTGACACATTTATTGGTCTTGAAGACTGGATGCCAGATATTTGGCTCTTAGAAAAGCAGCTTAGCGTGTGCTTGGAGACTAAATTTGTCAATAATGATCAGAATCCTACTCCTAATCACTGTATTAACAAATGGTTTCATGACAAATTGGAATTTGGTATTCTAACAGCTCCAATTTAAAATAATAATGCATTAGTGAAATAGATGTTGCTAAAATGTGTTTTGTGATGCTAGCCCAAAACAAAAATAAAGAGCCAGCCACAATGACCACTTGCCAGGAAAACCTCCACTAACTTTTGTAGCATTGAGCACAGAAGCAGTAGACAAAACTATGACCAAGACCAAATGCACACTGCAGTCGTAGTATTACTTTTTCTTCTTCTCCTTCCATCCCTTCCAGCACACCATGTGCGAAGCAGCCAAAACCCCACTTCATTTTGAAGGGCGATTGGAAAACAAACCAGAAGGAAAGAAAACCCTACGCCGTCCTTATTTTGCATTTTTGTTCCTCCAGAGGCATCACCAAGTCCAGAGAAAAGGCTCTGTAGTCGCCTCAGATGTCGAGACTCAAAATAAACAGAGCTTTTGGCGATAAAAATAAAGTCGCTCATCAGCTGCCATGAGGGCTCTTTCTTTATTTGCACAGCGTGACAAAAGGGGATTGTGGTTTTAGGCTTTATCAGCCTGTATTACGAGCCAGGCTTGCATGGCCAAGATGCTGTTGGGCTTGCTGACAAGAACCTAAGAGGGTAATAATCACCTAAACTGCAAAACGTTTATATTAAAAGGTCTAAATCACATTAAGCAACTACAGTGGATTGCAAAGGTATTAATATTCTTTGGACATGTTTTCATTTTGGACATTTTGTGCTATATCAATGCAAAGTACAACATATATGTGAAGTAGGAGAGAAATAGAGGATGCACTTTCATTTGTTTTAACAAATAAAAATGTGAAAAGTCCCATTTGTATTCAATTCCCAAACCTTTTGCAAACTCATGCAGGTTTTCTTCCTGCCAATAGCTGCATTCATCATCTCATCCACTTTGACATGCCTCCCTGTTCCTGCTAATAAAACAGCATGATTCTTCCACTGCCATGCAGAAAATATGGGAATTGTCAGTCGTGTCCAAACTAGAATCAGGAATCTTCACAATCATTTTGAAGCTATAATAAGATGTTTGTTGTGACACTCGGCTCAGAATGAAAATGTGGGATGCAAACAAAAATTTAAAATGCTTAAGGAAAAGAATAAAAATCCTTAAAACCCTAAACCCCAACAGAAAAATTGGAAGCACAACTAGACAACAGACCTTTAGTGTCACGTCCAAAATGCCTATATGTCATCCACTGGTTCCATGGGATTTTTAAACCATTTTTTACATAAAGTGCAGATTGTGCCAGAGTGATCTAGAAATGGGCTGGTGGTCAATTTGACTGTCAGTGGGAGTGTTTATGACTCTATGCATGCTATCTTCTGTGTGTATCTCAGAAGCGGTGTGTGGAGGCGTGTGTGCGCGTGGGTGTGTGTGCCAAGGTGAGATGGGAAAGAAACTGTTGTGAAACCATGTGAAATTATATGGCTTGCAGCACAATGCAAACAGTGCGTGGCTGTCTCTCATGCACTGTTGAAAGCACATGGCTGTGCAATGCACTGTGTAATTTTTACAGTGTGTTTCTTTTTCATATTTACACATAACACTCATTAATTTAGACCAAAATGTCTCAATCAGAAACCATCCATCCATCAAAAGATGGATGGATGGATGGATGGATGGATGGATATCCAATCATACTGTAACTCTAATACCATCTATTGCCTAATAACTTGACTTAAAAAGTTTCCTTTGACAACTTCTGAATAACACACATTTTCCCTGTTATTCAAAAGTTAAGCCATTAAAGTAAACCTTATAATAAAGTCAGCTTTAGTCATTTTCTAGCAATGACATTTGGATTCAGTGGAGATGTGGTTGGTGGAATAGTCACACCATGAGAAAATGAACAGAAGCAGAGCTCTTTCTTACAGAACGCCAGTGACTCATGGAAAGATACAGCTCACGTTCAGATCTATGTTTACAGGCACACAAAGTGAAGAGATATTAACTGTTTGATACTTCGTGTATATGGTAGATATATATCCAGATCGTATTTTCATCCAATTTAAGAGGTACTTTGTTACTTTTGGATTTACGAACATGTTGCTGAGACGAGGATTCACCCCAATCTTCCAATTGGGACATCACCAAAGAGCCACAGCTGTCCTGAGTCTTTCAAGGACAAAAGACTGAGAGAAAAAACATCTAATTCTATCCTGTTTCTGATTTTCTTTCCTTTTGTGTGAAGCAAGACATGTTTTAAATTTAAAAAATCTACTGTAAACCATTGACCACAAGAAAAGTGAAGGAACTGATAACCTGACCTCTATCACACGGTACAAATTTTCTCTCATAAGCAAAAACTAACACTACGTTGCTTATCCTTTGCTTTTATTCTGTGTTTAAATATTTACTGCATATATGTTTGTCATGTCTTTGTCAAAGTGTAACAATCTACAGCACCACATATGTTGTTTCCATTTTTTTAAATAGAAAAATATAATTTAAATTTCACTATTAACACTGTCAAAACTTGGAAATAAACATGCAAATCCACTTGAATCAACAAACACAAACATAGAACATCCGTGTCCTCCACTCGCTCTATTTTCCTCTACAAGTCACCACCCTACATAAACATCTCTACCCCACATGAGTAATGACAGAGAGAAGCTAAATCAAATCAAGAGACCCCTCAATTTGCTCCATATGTTAGTTTAACTCAAAAGCCCTATCAGTGTCGCCATCTTAAGAGAAAAATTCCCAAATAAACTCTGAATCCCCTTTTTGAGAAACCGCAGGTCATGCCATCATTCCCCTCATGTACAGTCAGGCTTAGTGAAGGTGCTACTGAAAATGAAGACTGGCTCTGTCCCAAAGACGGCAAGATGTACTACAGAAACTTGGGTGTTTACACAAATGTCATTCCGGCTATATGATATAGATTTTTCTAAATTCATATTATGCAGAGATGCCCACAAAGAGAGTGAATTATATGGTCAACTGGTTACTGACTGAAAATTTGGAGTTAAAATATTTTATAATTTACTGAACATGTACATGGGTTTTATCTAATTGTCCTTAAATGTTAAGCCTCTGCCATGTCGTCACTGCGTGAGTTGCAGGGAAATTATGCACTGTCTAAAGGACTCGATGCAAAACACATTTCGGGACAGGTGTCCTCCATATTTAACAGCAATGTATTTACAGAAGCCTGGTAATAAATAAATTCACTGTTTATTCCAGCAGCATAATCTCATACCGAATAGTTTACAAAAATGTCATCTGTTATTGGTGTATGTGCAATCAGTGAAAAAAAAAAGTTCAACATTAAGAAATACTTATTGCCATTTCTAACAAGTCAAACAATTCCAGTTGAATAAACATAACTAATACTTCACCTTTTCAAAAGCTACAAAATATTACTCCATTGCACCACGGAGTAATATAATAATACTATCATGGAGTGATAATATTGGTACTAAAGAAAGCAACAGAGTAACCAAAAATTTCTCAAGCTGAATGGAGCATAAAGACCCAGGAGAGCCCCTCCCACACTTGTTACTGTGAACCTTCTGGTCAGCTTCATGTCAGAAAGCAATTACAGTTTTCACTCACTTACAAGAAAGACTAATTTGGTTGTAAATTTTCATAGTTGCAAAAAACATGGGCAGTCACAAACAGTGTGGAAACTAAAGGAGCCCCTAACATACTTCCAATGCTGAACTGTAATGATCAAGAAACTCATTCTGCTCACTCCATTTTCCAAAACAAGCAAGCTTACTTGAAAACTAATACTGAATTATTCAATTACTTAAGCTTTGTGTCAAAATAAAATTTGGCATTATTAAAATAACATTATTCCAACTGTAAGAGTAAGCATCCAATGTGGAGAAGGGATAAGTGCTGAAATATAGTTTTAAATCACATTAAACAATGTGATTTAAAACTATATCACAAAATGTGAAACTGAATCATTTAGATTCAGTTTCACATTCCTTTGTGACTATACAGTGATACTTTGAAAGTGCGGTATTTTTACTTATGGTTAGCATACCATGAGAATCTCATAACCCCCAAGTCTACTC